GCGCCGCACAAAGAGCCCGGGCCCGGGGCGCCTGTAGAGGCGGCAGCCTGAGACTTAAGGTGTCCCCGAGTCCGGTCCTCCGCGCTCTGGCCGCCGCCTCGACGTGCGCTGCATGGGGAGCGCCGGGGCCCCGCGCCCGCGTCGCGGTGGCCACCCCATTGTCTGCTCCCTGGGCTTAGGGGCTGGGGGGTAGGTAGGTACCGGGCGGGGCTGCCCCTCTGCACCCCCACTCACTGCGCTCCCCCTGCGCCGTAGCCCGCTTTGCGCACTCGGTTACAAAAAATTTCAAGGTAGCCGAGAAAGAAAGGGTTAACCCTCGTCTTTAAATATTCATATCGTTGTTTTAAAGGTGTAAACATGCGGCTTTCTGGGTTGGAGTTGACTGCCTCTTCTGATGCAGATTGAACCCCCCCGTTAATTACTCATTTCCCCCGAGCACTCCGCCCTTTCTCATCCCCTCCAAAAATGTACGGATTTATCTTTTTAAGGTTCGGATGTGAGTGTGTGTGTGATTTGGGTTTCTCGTTCCTTTTGGAATTTTAAAACTCCTGTGTGCCGTCTGGACTTAGGGTCTCTCAAACTTTTTCCCCCCTTAAAAATTTGGAAAGATGTAAATTATGTCTAAAAAGAAGTTAATCCCCCAAATGCCAAATTCCTCTCCCCGCCTTTTTTTTTGTTGTGTTTTTGGATAGGGGTTGCAGGTAGGAAAATAACTGGATGCCTCGTGAGTTGGATTTTTTTTTTTCCTGGTATGAGTGAGGTGGTGTTAAATGCGAGGCATTTTGTGAGGAAAGGACTGTTGTTTTTGATCCAGACCCTTCCAAGTTGAAGTGGTGGTAAACTTTTCCTAACTCTAAAATGGCTTCAAAGTTCCCATGTCGGTAAACTGGCTCTGCCCGCCTGCCGCCTTCGTTTTGGACAGGTTGTTCATGAATGTTGGAAGGTTTATTCCTGTACAGTTGTAGGTTTCAAACTGAAATCCTTGCTCATCCCAAACATGTTTTTGTAAAGTCGGTTTGGATTACTGCCCAAACTCGGGCTTTGTGAGATTTATTTTCAACTGGCGATGTGCTTCCCAGGGATCCAAAACTATAAATGGGAATTATGTTCTTAATCATAAATTTTGGAGGGGAAACCAACCCTAAAACTTGGGGCGTATGTAATTCTATGCCCAATAAAGTATCACTCGGCCGGTTTGTAAACCCTAGGAGCACATGTAAGTTTTTGGTTTAGCCCCAAAGGCCTCAAACTTAGAAGAGCTTGTTGCAGAAACTTCCAATGGTACCAAGTACCATAAATGTTAGTGATTTAGTAGGGTTTAATTTATCGTTTTAGTTCTGCAATGAAATGGTAATGAGCAGTAGCATGTTTTGTCAGCGATGTGTTTGTACTAGTTTGCTGGGTGGGATGTTTGCTTTCGAGGAAATAGCACTGCATTAAAACATCAGAGAACTTTCCACCGCTCTCTTTGAAGAAAATGATCCTTGTGGTGTTAAACAGCCATCCCAGTTTGCAAGTTGTGTTCTGTAGTGAGGCCTCCTATTAGTTTTGGATCGTGTTGTGTACTTTTGGCTCGGAGTGAAAACGTGTTTTTCTAAAATGAGACTTAGCATCATGAAGAATTTCATCAAACGCATTTCCATCCACATCCATTTCCCGCAGAGTTTCTATGAGACGTTTTATTTGTGAGATTGCAAAGGTTTTCCAGAAAAGTCGCTTTAGCCAGAATATTTAATTTCTGAACTGTAGTGCATCTAGGTTGACAGGTGAAGTGACAAGAGGTGTTCTCACGGTGCTGCCTGCTAGAACCCTTGGGGCTTAGTGTTCAAAATGGTGCTGTGTCACGGAAGCCTGCGGGCCCATAGTTCCTTCTTCAGAGGAGGTCTTCCTCGCTGCCCCTCAGAGCCACAGTTATAACACAGATGTCGGATCTTCCTCCGTAGAAGATGTCTGTGATGGTGTTGTCACTTTATCAAATGACTTGCCCTGACTTATGCATCTCTGTGACGAACTGTTGTGGCCCCAAATCACTTTCCCTGTGGTGTTGGTGATTTTAGGCCTTTTGACATTTATTTTTCACTATGGTGTGTTCCCTTGATTCTTGGCAAGTACTGGTGAGAATTCTTTAAATGGTGTCTTTGTGTCTTGGGGCTACCTAGGTGGATCTGTCAAGAAACCAGCCGGCTAGGAGAGGGAGGGGAGGAGCCCGGCTGTGAGACGTGTGGGCCCAAGAACCATGTCTACGCGGGAGTCCTTTAACCCGGAAAGTTATGAATTGGACAAGAGCTTCCGGCTAACCAGATTCACTGAACTGAAGGGCACTGGCTGCAAGGTGCCCCAAGATGTCCTGCAGAAATTGCTGGAGTCCTTACAGGAGAACCACTTCCAAGAAGATGAACAGTTTCTGGGAGCAGTCATGCCAAGGCTCGGTATGTGAACCGTTGTTTCTTTATACTTCCCTGAGTAAAGCGTCTCGGACTGCAGGCCAGTCAGTGAGTCAGAAACCAGACTTCTCTCCTCTCGTATTGCTTTTTTTTGTCTTTCTTTCTAAATTCTGTAAGGAGGATTCAAAGAGCAAAGAGGTGGTAACTGTGTCACGTTATTGTAACTTATTTGGAGGAAACACTTGAAAAGCATCCAGAAATGCATTCTAACCGTTTTTAAGCTATTAAGTATGTGATGGAGACAATTATATTACAGTAGAAGCATTTTTTATTAAATTGAATTTTCTGGTTAGCTGAGGATTAAGCAGAAACTCCTTTATGTCTTTACGTAAAATTTTCCTTAAAATGCTTGCATTGTCTTGGGAAAGGTGGTACTTCAGCATTGCTGTGCAGTACTTGGAGAGCAGTCGCGGGTCGGGGAGACCCTGGGGGTCCTCTGTAATATGCAGTGTGTGAAATACTTCTGTGGGGAGGAGGGAGAGGAAGACTGCTCCAGACACAGAGGGGAGGAGCAGACTGGACTGAATCTGTACTTGACCCCAGGACGTCTTCTGGAATTGAGAGCTGTGTTTTCTTCTTCACTAAATTCCTGAGGTCATTAGTGGTTTGCCTTTTCCCAAACATAGCGCTCAGAAGGAAATTCTAGGCGGTTGGGATGCTGTTTGTTAGCTTTTATTGTGTGGCTTGTTAAGTACGTTATGCAAGACCGCTATCACTTTGCTTTTTGAGTGTTTAGTGTGTATTCTAGAAGTTCCGAGGCTTTGTAGTTACGGTGTGTGACTTGATCAGCTTTCTTACGTAAGCTTTTTATTTCATTTATTTCCGCCTATTATTTTGTTGTGAAGACCTGTCTTACAACATTGGTTTTGAACCCAGGGTGCTCCTTTCTTCCCTAATATATAAGCAGATAAAAGCAGAGTTGCTTTGGTTGGGAGGGAGGAAAACACACACCCCACACTCTAGGGCCTGCAGGGCTCCTCGGGACTCAGTGTGAAAACTGTCCTCGTCTAGCTGATGTCTAAGCTGTGGAGAAATACCATGTGAATGAGTTGGAGTGGATGTCAGCTTACTTGTCAAGAAATAAGAATGTACTGAGAGGGGGCTGGCCCGGTGGTGTGGTGGTTAAGTTTGCGCAGTCCGCTTTGGAGGCCCGGGGTTCGCTGGTTCAGATCCTATGGACTGAACCTACACACTACCCATCAAGTCACGCTCTGGCGGTGTCCCACATACAAATTAGAGGAAGATGGGCACAGGTGTTAGCTCAGCCACAATCTTCCTGAAGCAAAAAGAGGAAGATTGGCAACAGATGTTGGCTCAGGGCCAATCTTCCTCACCAAAAGAAAAAAAAGAAAGAAAAAACTAAAAAAAAGAATGTACTGAGAAAGCTCTTAGTTTGTCAGAAAAAATAAGCTACTGAATGAGCAAAAACAAATGCAATAAAAACCTCATGGATAAAGTAATAATTCCTCTTTATAACTCCCCCCGGTTGATCTTTCTGAGCACGTGGGCATGCCACGCACTGTTAAGCGCTTTGATAATGGGGAGGGGGGTCATCTGTTCTTTCCAGTGGCCCTGTGTTGCTCAGGAAGGCTGGGTGACCCCTTCTGTCACTTGATCAGGCTCAGGACCTGGAATCCACGTCGTCCGATTCCTCCACCCACCATACTGCTTGTCCTCTGGCTTCTAAGTCCAGACGTGTTCATGGTGGGGAGAGGAGCTGCGTGAGCTGTAACTTAGCACTGGCAGAAGGGGACGGATTTCTGACAGCAAAGGAAGAGGCAGGAAAACACAGATGTCAGAATACAAAGGCGAAGGAGTCTGGTCACATATGGCTTTTGAGAAGTAAACGAAAGCCGTGGGACCCGTTGACAGAAAAATGCACATCCACAAAATTTTGCATTTGTGGCGTTCTGGAGGGATAGACGGATCCCAGGTTACAAGCAGGTGGATGCTGAAGGAAGCAGAGTATGTATTAAAACCTTGTACAGAAGTGGTATATCTTAATGGCCAAAACTTTGCTTTGAAGTTAGATCTAGATTCATATCCTGACACAATCACTTACCAGTCACTAATGTTACTCTCGGCACATTGCTTAACCCTCTTGAGCCTCAGTTTCCCAATCTATACAATGGGATAGTAATGTTCACTGTTTGCGATTGTTGTGAGTACCAGAAATCATCTATGTATGTAAATGTACTGTGTATATCTGTACCCACATACACAGTACATACATGTGTGTGTATGTATATATGTATGTGTGTATATGTCTACACACACAAGTGTCTTTATCTGTTTTTAAATTTTTTCTAAGACTGTCGTATTTCCTTGATTGCAAGATGGCATTAATTGAAGGATGAACCATAATAGCTTTTAAATGCACACGTTTATTAGATGTATTCTAACTAATTTACAGTATTAAATGTATGCATTCTAAGAATCAGGTGAAATTAATTCTAATGTATTTTGTTTAATCCACTATATAAAAGAATATAATTTTAACAAAATTAATATAAACCATTACTAATGAAATGTTGGGGTTTTTTTGGTACTAGGTGTTTAAAATCTGGTATCTTACATTTACAGTGCATTTCAATTTGGAATAGCCACATTTCACAGGCTCAATAACCTCGTGTGGCTAGTGGCTACCATACTGGACGGCACTAGACCCTTACTCTAGTAGGTAGTGGTGTCAAGGTTATGAGAGGACGTGGATAATGTGAGCTTCTCTTTAGCCCTAGGAACGTGCTCAAGAGTCATCAGTTAAAATGCTCTGATGCTAAGAAATTAAAAGCTTTACAAATCAATGAATTTAATTCAAATTTAAGATTACCCAAATTAGAAACATTTAAAGCTAACATTTAGCAACTATTTTTTAGTTTCTCTTTCAATAGTCCTGTAGTTTATATGAAAACCTAAAAGAAAACTATATTTCACATTTTTCCAAAGTGAATAGTAATATACTTGGAATAACCAGTTGTTGGAATGACCAATTTAGGGACAATCAGTATGAGTTAAGTTGTGATGCTTGCCCTGTTTCCACTCAAGTGCTGCAGAATGTTGTTAGATGGAATTTCTGAGAGGCTGCGCCATACACTGTTTAGATGAATTATTGCACACATTCTCGTCTAACACACATGAAAACTGATCACTGGTAAAGTGTTGTCTATTGTCTCAAATTTGTGAGACTTGCCATTCTGAAACTAACTCTCCATTCCCTAACTGGATCTTCCTCCAAGAGTTTCTGCTTTGCCATCTAGTGTAGTAAAAAATCAGCCTGCTTCACCGAGTCTGTGACTTTTCATTAAAACTTGATTTTATTTTTGCGTTAGTAATAATGGACCAAGACCTGGAAAATAAGGTGCCTCCATGCGCCGGCCTCTGTTGGGCACGTCGCTGTCATGGTGCTGAGATGGTGGTGCCGTAGCAATTTTACTTATGCACAATATGAAAGGTACCATCTACTCATTTCATTGTGGTTCGGATGCGATTTATTCCTATTTGGTTAAGAATTCTGAATTGAGAGGAGAGCATCCACTTGCTTCCTTTTGTACCTCATCCTGAGTCTTGCTCTGCCATTGGCTGTAGGGTTGCAAAGTTGGAATACTTCATAAGAGGGCGGGAGGGCATCCTTTTGAGACGTGTAGGAAAGCTCTCTGTTTATTCAGCTTATTTGGTGGGAAGGCCACTCTGAATTTGTAAAATATCTGCATTACAGGTGATTTTTAAAGAAATGTAGCCTACAGTAGCTAGTCTTGACTATTTCTAAACTGATTTCAGGAAAAGGGAATTATTTCTAATTAGCCCATCAGTTGTCTATATTATCTTTCTAAATATTCAGAAACAATTTTAAAATAAATTGAAATATTTCCCAGAGCTTGTTTAGCAAATTGGTTTTTTTCCCTGTTTGTAGTATAAATTAGTAAAGGTGACATTTATAAGTTTTTCACAAGGGGAATAACATGGAATTTTAAGGTTTCGTCTTAAAAATTGCTTTTGGGAACCTGTGTGAGAGAGAGATCACATAGATGCCTCAGTGTTAGGTACATGCTTGATTGGAAACAACGAATTGATGAATACCTGTTCTGGCTTTGTCCTTTTCTTTTCCTTTTTTTTTTTTTTTTTTTTTTGGTCACTTTCATTTTTGACTAAAATATAGAAGTAATAATAGGATTTTTATGGGGCCGGCCTGGTGGTGCAAGCGGTTAAGTGCGCACGCTGGGCTGCGGCGGCCCGGGGTTCGCAGGTTCGGATCCCGGGTGCGCACCAACGCACCGCTTGGCAAGCCATGCTGTGGCGGCGTCCCATGGAAAGTGGAGGAAGATGGCCACGTATGTTAGCTCAGGGCCAATCTTCTTCAAGAAAAGAGGGGAGGATTGGCATCAGATGTTAGCTCAGGGCTAGTCCTCCTCACACACACACAAAAAAAATGGATTTTATATGTGTAAAATATTTTACAGACTTTCTGTTGGGAAAACAGAATAATGCCTAAAGGTTCACTCAAAGTAACTATAGATAAGACGACCCAGGTATGCTATTCTCATCTTCAGAGAAATTCTCTATGGTGCCAGCCACGTGATAGAGTAACAAAGGAAGATTTCTGTCCAAGCCATCATTAGAGTCTAAAAATTTACTGTATTGAAGCTGAGCCTTCATGAGTAACAGATTTTATTCTCATTTTCTGTCTTAAGCTAGCTGTATGTTTCATGTTTATTTCAGTTATGCTTCTTGGTAGGAAACACACTGCTCTATTGGCAGTGTGCGGTGTTCCCTAAGTATCTTCTACAAAACTCTTCTTGTTCAGAACACTAATGGTGTAAAATGAAATGGCTTTTCCTTCTGATTTTCGGATGATGATGACTTCCGTCTTTGCAGGCATTGGAATGGATACTTGTGTCATTCCTTTGAGGCATGGCGGTCTTTCCTTGGTTCAAACCACGGATTACATTTACCCCATCGTCGATGACCCTTACATGATGGTAAGTTTGACCTAATGTGTTTTTATATCTGGAGCTGCTTGTTCGTTGGGTTTTGGGTTGTGGCTGGAGTTTTGTGTATGTGTGTGGGTTTTTGTCTTTGTTATGTCCAAATTGTTCTCATCCCACCGCTGCCCTGACTCTGGCAGTCACGACGATTGGATCTCACACTTGGGCCTGGGCTTAAAGCAGTGAAGGCAGACGTGGGGAGTCCGTGTGCTGCTTTTGTACTTGAGTGTGCGTCTGTGTGAGAGCACCTGTTGTCTACTAAGCATGTCTGTTGACTGACGTGTTTGTAGTTTTCTTCTTTCGTTCCTGTACCTTTCCTTCTTTGACATTTGTAGAATGTCCACACTCCTGTGTTTCTGGCTAGAGATGTTACCATAGTCTCCAGTAGGACTGATCCTAGATGTTTCCTTCCAGAAATAAGGAGCTTAGCATCTCATCACAGTTCAACTTCTTGACCACTTAATCTGATTCTGGTCACTCTCCTGGTCACTGTGTTGTATACCACTGTGTAGAATAAGTATCTAAACTACTGAATTAAAGTTCCCAACTACCGATCATGCTCTGCTCTCTGCTTAGATGCTTTCCAAATTGTTCATTGCATGGTTGCAGCCAGCATCCCCTCAATCTGCCCAACTTGAACCCTTCTACCCTACCGGCCAAGAGGAGTGATGAAGGGCTTGGGAGAATCCTGTAGTTATGAAATACTAGAGGTCCTTCCTGTGTGCCTCGGGCGCTGGGATCAAGCCGCACACACAAGGACTTAGGCCGTGAGGTCGCTAAATGGGGGGAGGGCGGTGTTCACCTCTCAGATGCCATTGACAAGCATGCAGGTTACTAGAAACCTGTTTGGCCTCTGCATGTCCATCTGTTCTCTCCTCTAGAGCAGGACACCTGAGAGACTGAGGTGTGCCACACCCCAAGTTTCCTACCTCACCAGGTGGCAGAGGTGGCTAGAACCAGAATTCATCCTTTTTCCAGCATCTCTTAAGAGCATCTGAGAGAGCCCAGAACAGGAGGGGCAGTAAACGGCTGCAGCCCTAACCAGCGCCTGGCACCTCCGAGTCACAACCCACCTGTTGCCCTCATCACAGTTGAAAGTGAGTCACAGAGGGCTACTGAGCTCGCTTGATCTGCCAGGAACTCGTCAGAAAACCTAGCCAAGCCATCAAACGGCCACTAAGAATGATAATACTTTGGAGTTGGATTATCCTTATGTCAGAATAAAAATGTGTTGTTTTCTTCTTTACTGTCTAGGCAATGGCAACTTACATTAAAAAATCTCCAATGGTGATAAAAAAATCTTCATTGTGGCATTTCTAATATGTACTGCTCTAAAGTCCCTTAATAAAATCGCATAGTTTACTGGGAAATGCTTCTCTTTTTCTTTAAAAAACAACCTAACTTCAGGCCTGGGTGTGTTTTATTTCTTCCATTTTTTGGTTTCTCAAACAAGATGATTTCCCTGTTTATTTCCCACAGCCTTGAAAAGAAGCTACAAACATTTCTCTATTTCAGTGTATAGAGACCGTCTTCTCTGTAACTGATAAAGTCAACATTTTTTTAGAATCTGTTTGGGATAAGTGGCTGTTTCCAAGTTTGCTTCAGGACAGTTGTTTTCCAGCTTTTTCACTCCATAACTCTTCCTCCCAAACCATCAACTCCCACCTCGCTTCCCCCCAACGTCTCCCCTGCTCCCCGTTCCCCATCTTAGTAAACTGCCGGCTTCTCGCAATATTCAGAATGAGAGAGAGCATGGAAATGTGTTTGTTCTGCACAAGGAAGAAAAGGTGGTGACAGGAATGTCTGAGAAAGTGTGAACGGCCTAGTGGTGCTGTGGTTAAGGGCAGGTCGTGATCTGCACGTCGCAGACACTGAGGCCCACATCCCTGGAAAGTCCCCGAGTTCTCCTGGGAGGCGCTCCGTACGCTCGCTCTTTGTGTCTGCACGTGGAAAGTCCCTTGGTTGTCCTTTCTCACATCTCCCCTCTCTTCCAGGGCAGGATAGCATGTGCCAATGTCCTCAGTGACCTCTACGCCATGGGGGTCACAGAATGTGACAATATGCTGATGCTCCTTGGAGTCAGTAATAAAATGACCGACAGGGTAAGTGGGAGATCGTACAGCTGCTTACTGGTCTCTTGTCTTGGTCGCATCACTTGACTGGTTAGCCCTTCATGCCCACATCTGTAACATGAGGAGCCCAGGCTGCGTGGCTGCTGTGTCCCGTCCAGCCCTCCGCTTTTTGGCAGCTATCGGTAGATTAAAATAGAGCGTCTGGCCTATTCGTATTTTCATTTCTGCCATCTGCTTCCCTTTCTTTCTTCTGGATAGACTGAAGCCAAGACATTTTTGTTTGTTTTAGTAAAGTCTAGGCCACTGTAATAGCACCTCCACACCAGGCTTGTGGACTGGCCTAGCCTTATAGACCCAGGGCATGTACTCAGCTAGTCTTGGGATCCTTAAGGACCCCAAGGCTCGGGGGGCCGGCCCCGTGGTGTGGCGGTTAAGTGCACGCACTCTGCTGCTGGCGGCCTGGGTTCAGATCCTGGGCGTGCACTGATGCACCGCTTGTCGGGCTATGCTGTGGCGGCCTCCCATATGAGGTGGAGGGAGATTGGCGCGGATGTTAGCTCAGGACCAGTCTTCCTCAGCAAAAAGAGGAGGATTGGCATGGATGTTAGCTCAGGGCTGATCTTCCTCACAAAAAAATAAATAAATAAAAAAATAAAGAGCTGGCTCAGGTATAGAGCAGCCTGTGCACCTCGTCACGTCCCAGTGTTTACTTCTTTGTTGTCTGGGCTTTGTTCAAATTGTAACCTAGAACATCTCCCAGCTTTTGATAAGCTGGCTACAATATAAACTATTCCCTACTTACATCTGTTACTCCCTGCCCCTTCTGTGACTTACATGACTGCCTCTAGGGTTTTATGATCCTTTTTGTAACTACAAGTGTAAACTCTCTTTTCTGGGTTTTGAACTGAATTATGTGACTTTTAATTTGTGTCCTTTTAAACCCTAGGAAAGGGATAAAGTGATGCCCCTAATTATACAGGGTTTTAAAGATGCAGCAGAGGAGGCAGGCACATCTGTAACAGGCGGCCAAACAGTGTTAAACCCCTGGATTGTTTTGGGAGGAGTGGCTACGACTGTCTGCCAGCCCAATGAGTTTATCATGTAAGTGGATTTTGTTTCTTGTCACCTGGCCTGATTCTCTTTTTCTTTTTTTAAAATAGGTATATTGAGATATAATTTGCATACCATACAATTCACCCATATAAAGGATATAATTCAGTGGTCTTTGGTACATTCACAGAGTTGTGCAGCCATCAACCAGAGTGGATTTAAAACATTTTCATCACCCCAGCAAGAAACCTGTCCCGCTTGGCTGTCACTCCCTGTTCCCTCTACCCCCAACCTGGCGTCTTTCACTTTACATAATATTAGCATAATATTTTTAAGGTTCATCCATTTTGTAGCATGTATCAGTACTTCATTCCTGTTTTATTTAAAATTTTAGATTTTTTTATTGAAGTATAATTATTATAACATTTCACACAACATAAAATTCAACTTTTTAAAGTATACAATTCATTGATTTTTAGTATTCATGAGGTTGTGCAACCATCACTACTGTTGAATTCCAGAACATTTCCATCACCCAAAAAAAGAAACCTTGCATCCATAAGCAGTCACTCCCAATTCTCTCCTTCCTGCATTGTCAGGAAACCAGTAGTCTACTTTCTGTCTCTATGGATTTGCCTATTCTAGACATTTTATATAAGTGGAATCATACAATATGTGATCTGTGATGGGCTTCTTTAACTGAGCATGTTTTCGAGGTTCGCTCATGTTGTAGCATGGGTCAATGTTTCATTCCACTTTATGGCTGAATAATATTCCATTGTATGGACATACCACAATTTATCTATTCATAGGTGATGGACCTTTGGGTTATTTCAACCTGTGATGAATGATGTTGCTGTGAACATTTGTGTGCAAGTTTTTTGTGTGGACATAGGTTCTGATTCTCTTGGGTATGTACCTAAGAATTACTGGGTCATGTGGTAACTCTCTTTAACTTGAGGAGCCATCACACTGGTTTCCAAGGTGGCTGCACCATTTTATATTCCCAACAGCAATGTATGAGAATTGCAGTGTCTGTACTCCCTCTCTAGTATTTGTTTTATTGTCTGTCATTTTGATAATAGCCATCCTAGTGGGTGTGAAGTGATATCTCACTGTGTTTTGATTTGCATTTACCTGGTGGCTAATGATATTGAGCATCTTTTCATGTGCTTTCTGGCCATTTCTAGATCTTTGGAGAAGTTTCTCTTTGAACACAAGTGTGACATTCCATGTTTGATGTCTTGTTAAGAAAAGCCACCCATCCTGAAGGAAGTAGACACTCCACTTATTTTGTGAATAGGCACTGATAGGTACTGTGTTCACGTGGTCCAGAATTCAAAAGGTATAAAAGGCTCTTCAGTGCAAAGTCCCTCCTCCATCCAGCATCACCACTTTCCCTTCCTGGAGGCTCCATGTTTAGCAGTCTTGGGTATTCTTAACCAATCTACTATTGACGTTTAGATTATTTTCAATTATTTTGACATTACAAATAGTATTCCAGCGAGTAACCTTATCCATAGGTCATTGTGCACATGTGTGAATCTATTGGTAAGAAAATTTTCAAAATGGAATTGCTAGGTCACGTGTATATGTAATCTGATAGACATCTCCAGGCTGCCCTGTGGAGGCTCCACCAGTTTATGCTCCACCAGCAGTGAATGAGTGTCCATTTCCCTGTGTCCTAACCGCCACAGTGTGGTAAACTTCCTGGTCTTTTTCAGTGCGTCTGGTGGTTTAAGCCTTACTCCTATGAGTCAAGTTGAGCATACTTTTCATATATTCATATCTTTTGGCCGTATTTTTAATTGATGGGAGCTCCTTTTAGACCCATTATCTGACAGCTTTCATGTTAAGGATCTTGCATTACTTACGTCCAGGTTTTATTTTCCTATGTTTTATGTCAGTAGTTCTGAAACTTTCCACTTAGTTGGGACAAAAGATCCTAGAGTCCATCTGTCTCACCCATTCCAGCTTTCCAGTAGAAAAAGAGCTTAGTGGTAGCAAACAATTAGAGAGGAAGAATTAATAAAACAAGCATCAATGAATTTTTTGTCAACAACATGTATTTACTTTGTAAAATGTGAATAGCCTATTAGCATGGTTATATTTCATAAAATATTGCCCATGAATTTAAAAATAACCCAGTAATTTTATCACACTTAACTTGACATGAGTTTGTAGGTTGCACATAACCAGTGATATGCAAGAACGTATCAGCTTTAAGGTATGGCTGAGTCAGAACTGAAAAACATTTATGTCTTAAGGTCTAGTTTTTGGAAAATGAGTTTCTTGTCTACTGTCACAGAATTAATACTTTTTGAAGCTAACGGTGGATACAAGTACAAGATGAGCTGGGGAGTTAGTTGATTTTCAGGCCTGTGCCCCTGGCTTTTTCATCCATTTGGGTGAGGATTTGAGTCATCCAGCATCGGGGTGGAACAGCCGTGTGGACAGCTTCTTGAACTGAGACAAGAAGACAGAGTGAGGATGCAAGTGTAATAGCAGTTTTCTTTGGGAGATCAGTGTTTTTGTTTTAGGGCTGCCTTTTTAGTATTTGCCTTCTGTCTTTAAGACGGACCAACCAGGTGCCAAGTAGGAAACTTACTGGTCAGTCTGAGTTTGAAAACTTTGGTGCTGAAATCACCAAAACATTAGACCCACAGACTTGAGCCAAATTCGATTGCCTGAAAAATCCCGCAGCCTGAGAAATAGCACCTGCATGTCTCCCATATATGTGATCATTAAAAACGGTCTTTGTTCCAGAAGTCTTGTTGCCTCAGAACGGTGGTGGGTCTGCATTGAAAAGGATAGGTGAGCACGGCTGAATTAGGGCCTGAGGAGGCCTTTGAAGGCTAAGTGGTCTGCTTCTTTGTACATTTTTTTGGAATCATTGTAGTAAGTCGTTGGCCTGTATGTTTAAGTCTGTGGGCTCTTCGATTTTCTTTTAATGTTTTGTTCCAGCAGTAGCCTCAGTGGCAAGTCGCAAGGCTCTAACACGGGTGATAGTGGCTTAAATTTAAGTAAGTGTTTGTGAAACCAAATGTGTTTTTAACAGCCTTTTTTTTCTCCTGTTTAACCGATGATGAATTTATCTCCTTGGTTGATTTGACTAGCACCTGCCCTTGTTTTTTCCTTCAGGCCAGATAACGCAGTGCCAGGGGATGTGCTGGTGCTGACGAAGCCCCTGGGGACACAAGTGGCCGTGGCCGTGCACCAGTGGCTGGATATTGTGAGTGAGCGGCTGCCTGTGGTGGGGGAGGGGGAGCTGACCAGCAGTGTTCAGGGGCATGGTAGGTTTAGTGGTGGGGTTTGGAGAGAAGGGGCAACCACTCTACACGTCAGGTCAGATGAGTGTCTCTAGTCTGCCGGTGCTGGAGTGTGCTGCTACAGGAAGACGGAGCTGCTCCTGAAGTAAATGCTGCTTCTCGTCCACAAAGTAAGCCCTTCCCCTTGGACGTGTTTTAACATGGTTAAGATCTATTAGAGCCTCTCAAGGTTAGCAGCTTGTCTTCTAAAAATGAGCCCCCTGGTGGCCTTGTGCTTAAGTTGGCGCACTCCGCTTTGGCTGCCTGGAGGTGGCGGGTTTGGATCCTGGGTGCAGACCTACACACCACTCATCAAGCCATGCTGTGGAGGCGTCCCATATACAAAATAGAGGAAGATGAGCATGGATGTTTGCTCAGGGCCCATCTTCTTCAAGCAAAAACGAGGAAGATTGGCAATAGATGTTAGCTCAGGGCTAATCTTCCTCACAAAAAAATAAATAAATAAAAATGAGCCCCTTTAGTGCTACCACCAGGGAATTTAGTGTCTGTCAAGTCCTTATAGAAATCCTAGGAATTCTCCATATTCTTTTATTAAATCAAAGTTTTGTGCATTGAACGCTTAAAGTAGGTAAGCCCAGCTTGCGGCTTCAAAGATAATCTGTGAAGAGACTTTGGGAGGCAGTGGGTTCGGCTTATTTGGTGCTGAGATAGCTTTATCTTATCTTAAACATCACTAAAAAATAATATGGAGGAGAATGTGTGGAAAGTGTGGTGTTTGGGGTATAAATAAGGCCAGGATTATTGACAGTTTAAATTATTTTAGTCATGGGGCTTTTGGTTGGTTTTTTTGGTTGTTTTTGTCTTTTTAAACTAATTAGTAACTCAGAATGTGTTGATGAATAATTACCTCATGGAGAAAGCATCTAGAATATGAAGATATTTATCCTGAGTCACTTTTCCCCTGAGCTATAATCATACTTCACTTAAGACTTTTTTCATTGCCGTAACAACTCAAAAACTAATACGATCGTGGTATACTCTCACATATCTTATTGCTTTTAATTTCTACAACTGTCATCTGAAACTACCGGTCCTGAGAAACAGTTGAAAAAGAAGAATAGTTATATGTTATTCCTCAGCCGGGTGTATGTTGGCTTGATACAGCAGAGTAGAGAAAATCTCTTGGGCTGCCACGTTCTTTAGTTATTTCTCCCTTCTCCTCCGGTGATGATGGGGACACTTCCAATCGAGTGTGGTGATTTGTATGTTAGATTGGAGGGCTGTTACAGGGCAGTAGTCTCAGAGCAGCTTTCTAGTACGACTGCCCGGGCCCGAGTTTTTAACCGGGGTGGGGAAGCAGCTGAGGGAAAGGAGCATCGATGAGGAGCGGTGGGTTCCTTCCCTTCTCCCCACCCCCAACCTGGCACAGCCCTCGCTTTTTACCAGTTTTTAAAAAATGCTCAGAATTTTAAAAAGCAAGTTCCAAAGACTGTGTAACAGCACAATACCCTTCTTGTAAAGGTCAGAAGCAACGGAAGAGTATATTGTATGGGCATCGATACATATGGGAATACTGTTTTTTGAAAGGCAGGGGAATGGCAAGTATAAAATTCAGAATAGTTATTCCCTCTGGGGGATAAAGGAGGAACACGTCGATAGACTGAAGTTAGTGCGTTGAGTGGTAGGTTACTGGGTGTTATTGAAACAGTGAATGAGTGCGTGAGTGATCATGGTCCATCATTACTGGACCATGATGACAGGATGTTATCAACCCAGCGTCGTGATGCTAGACTCTTTGAAAATCCGACTGAGGAAAAAAGGGAAAGACCCCAAAGCGATACCCTCTGTGGTCACCCAAGGCTGTCCTTGATGTGCGTCCAGTGGAAGTTGTCCTTGCATTTGTTTGTCCATCAAGATGGCTTGATCCAGAACTCAGGTGAACTCAGCACAAGTGTAATTATATGGAGAATGAAAGCCCTCGGCTTAAGAGGGCAGATGGGAGAAGAACCAAAGGGCGTTCAGAACTACTCGCAATGTGGTTTACACCCCCGCAGAGGAGAAGCTACACCGGTGTTAGCACACCTTTTTACTGCCCTCACATGGCAGCCGTATGTCCTGCTGGGTTTACCTATCCAGCAAGCTGCGGAATTTGACTGGAGAAGTGTGGCTTGAGAAGAGAAAAGAAACCATGATGATATGTCTAATGGACACCTAAAATAATAGTCACAGGAAAAAAAAGTGAGAAAACTTAATTTTGTGTACAAAATCAGGTAAACAAAACCCTCCAGAAGATGACACTGAAAAAAGTATGTTCTTTTTCTCAGTAGTTGGAAGTAAAAGTTAATCACCTTTTTCCTATCTTTTCTCTCTCTTTGATTTTCTCCTATCTGTGTTCCTATTAGCCTGAAAAGTGGAACAAAATTAAACTCGTGGTCACCCAAGAAGATGTGGAGTTGGCGTACCAGGAGGCGATGATGAACATGGCGAGGCTCAACAGAACAGGTACTGGGGCGGGAGGGCTGCCCACTGCACGGGTGGGCGAGCTTTCTGAAGAGGGCCCGGGTGGGAAGGCGTTTAGTCTTTACGGGCCACGTATGGTCTCAGTTGCGTATTGAATCCCCCCCACAACTCGTTAAACATGTTAAAAAAGCCATTCTTAGCTGGAGAAACAGGCCATGGGCCAGCTTTGGCTGGTGCCTGCAGACCCTCTTCTGTTGGTTCCTGGTTTGGGGTCCGTGGGTCTCTAGTGGGACTCCAAATACATTGTGTGTTCTTGACAGAAATGCCCGTTAGCTGTGACCGGCATTAGAGAAAGTAAGTGCGCAGTGACTAGCCTAAACAATATGTTAGACAGGTCGTCAGGTCACGCACGTGTTTTTCTCCAGCTCCTTCATTTGTGCACTTGGAGCTCTGCACGGTACTGTGGCTTCACCAGCATCTTTATTCCCCCTCGGGCTTAGAACCTCACAGTGAGAACAGCACCGGACGCAGAGCAGAGGCAGCGTAAATGTGGACGGATTAATGAATTCAGTTTCTGAGTCTGTGAAATGGAGAGTTGGGGTTATATTTTCTCTGTCGTCTTTGAATTCTAAATTTCTGTGATTATGGGCAGTATTGAATTCCTCTGTGCCCCAATAAAAACGGAAAAGAAATTTATATAGCATATTTTCAGAAGTATTTGACTTATTTTTTAATTTGTGTTGACATTGTTAATTCCTAGGTTTGGGTATATAAATGAGTAATGATGACATTCATGTCATAATTTTTTTCTTCACATTTTATTTCTAGTCTAAGCTTCCTAATGCTGATAAAAAGTAATAATAATAGTGATTACCATTTATTTGCTAGTTATTAATGTAACCAGGAACTTGACATACTTACTCATTTAATTCTTATGACAAGCTTATGAGGTAGCTATTATTATCCTCATTTTACAGAGAGATTAAGTAACTTGCTCAAGGTCACACAGCTAATCAGTGGTGGACCCAGGATTCGAAACCAGATATGCTCATAATGTTTTGAACCCACTGCTTATGATGCTTTTAAATATTATGCCCTGTTCTTCTCAACGATTTACTAAGAAATTGAGGCCATTTCACAGTCTTTGTGCATGGTAATGGAACAGTACTTTGGTACTATGCTAGGAGTTTTAAAAGCAGTTTAAAATAAAACAGGATGGTTCAAGAGCCAGAATTCATTTTCTGGAAAGCAGCAAGGCTTGTCTAGGGAATCACTTGATAATAGTTTAAGCATCTTATACTTGCTTTTTATTGGCTTTCATACGTGTATAGAAAGTACCAGATGTATTTTATAATTAAGAAGGAAGCTCTTCTTGTGGGTCTTTCAAGTCCTCACCTCTGAACGGCCAGAGGAGCTGTTTCTGGAGAATTCGTGAGGGTTGCTCTTTGTAGGTAATTTGGAAACGAACCAGCTTTTAGAATGTCAGCTCCAGGGAGCAGGAGTTTTCGTTCTTGTGCACTGCAGTGTCCCCAGCACTTAGAAGAGTGAAAGCACACCACAGGTGCTCATTAAACACGGATCCGGTGAGGGAGCTCTGCGTATCACGCGTGAGTCATTCTTCTTGGTACTTCATGGGCATTTTCTTTTTAATAATCCTGTGAATTGGATCCTGTTTTTCCCCTTTGGCAGAAAGGAAGTACATGTAAGAAATTCATGCAGATCCTGTTGTCAAACCTAAATGTAACTACAAAAACTGCTGTTTCTCTGACACCACACATTCCATCTACATAAGCCAGTGTCGGAAATACATACTTTTTATCCTGAAAGTACTGATTTTTCTCTGTCATCAATTGCATGTAGTATTTAAGGACTTGGGTTGTGTGGCATCCTATTTTGGAACTTTGAAGATACTTGAAGTTCAAAAATCTTGTCCTGGACAAAATCACTCTTCATTTAGTACTTGCTTGGGAGTCCCGAGCCAGCAATCAGAAATGCATTTGAAAGCATTTTTCTTATCTTACCCCTTCTATTGTTCAATTTCTCCAAATGAGTTGGAATGAAATATGTGTAATACTTAAGCCATGAGGTCTCCAATTATTAAAAAAAAAAAAAAAGAAAAATGAGATGTTAGCGTTGACCATGGGATCTTGAAAGATCTCATCTGACACTCTGATTTTCAAGTTAAAATGTGAAAAGAGATTTTTTTCCAACATCAGTCTTTCCCACCTTCTTTATTAAAACTTTTAAATTAGATATTGAGTTGATACAGGAGAATTTTATAAGATAAGTGCAGGACTTAAGGAACAACAGTGCAGCACCATGTGCCCACCATCTCGTAAGAAACAGCATGGCCTTGGAAGCCCAGAGGTGTCCCTCGCACACCCAGCTCCTGGATTCCTGCTGAAGGGTGACCACTGCTGAATCTAATGTTTATTCTCATGCATTTTGAAGTATTTTTATCACATAGGCTTGGCTTGTATCCTTAGACAATAAGTTTTGCATTTTTCGCTTTATTGAATCTTACCTGTCTGTTTTTCTTGGTGTTGGGTCTACCATGTTCCTGAGTGTCATCCCTGGTGTGTGGCTGTATTCATTCATTTCTCACTGCTGGTGCCCGTGTGTAGGAGGTCAGTAGTGCCTCAGCTTTTCTAGATGGTGCCAAATTGTTGCCCAGAGTGGTCGTACACCACAGTGTACAATGATGCGCTACATTTAAAAAGGTTCCTTAATATCTCTTCTCTTCCCGTTTATTTTATATATTTTTTTTACTCTAAAAAATCATATGCTTATTATAGAAGAGTTTTTAGACAATGAAAAAAGGTGAGAAAAAACATTGTCCGCGATGTTATCCACCACCCCAAATTAGCGTCTGTTAATATTTTTATGTATTGTTGTAGGAGTTTTTTCTGTTTGGTTGGTTGGTGGTTTACTGTTGTTTTATTGTTAATATTTTAAACTAGGGGTTATCATACATTTTATGTGTATTTTGAATCTGCTTTTATTCATTTAACATTACTAAATTTTTTCCATATTATATAATCCTAGTACACATAATTTTTAGTGGCTAGATGTTCTACCAGAGACACGTACCAGAATTAATTTACTTTTTGCCTACTTTTGAACAATTTGTTAGAGATTAAGTTTTTCTGTAATTTTTTTCTGCATTCCAGGAACATATCTTTGGCTATATTCCAAAGTTGAATTGTAATTACTTACTTCTTTGTCTTCACATGTTCTCATCACTTACAACTGAGGCTTTTTACTCATGTTTCTGTTCTGTGTCACTCAAACTGTATAAGGAGTCTTTTTCCTTTTTTTGGTCCTTCAAATTAAGTAATTTTAACAATAAGAAAGTGATTTGTAATGGCTCTGTTTTTGTCCATATGGATTATTAGTTTGCTTGTATTTGAGCCTTTAAGATTCCCCCATCCTCCTTTTTTATAAATCATAGGTAGGGATACAATATGGCAGAATGCTTGTGGTGGAGTAAATGGTCATTATCTAGGAAAATTACATGGGCATTTATTTTGACCTAGTAGTCCACCTTCTGTGGATCTGTCCCAAAGCTACAGTAGCAAAATATGAAATGACATATCTACAAGGCTCTTCACTGAAGCACTGTTTAGAATTGCAAAAGAAGGAAACAATCCAAATGCCCATCAGTAGATGACTGAATTCTCTAGTCTGCCTGCACACAGTGGAATACTCTACAGCTATAAAAAGGAATGGGAGATCTTTATTACCAGGGAGCTATCTCCAGGGTATGATCAAATGAAAAAAGCAAGGGATGGAAACATGTATGTGTGTGCTACATTTTGTGTGTTCATATATGAATATGAGGTAGTAATATGTATATCACACTTTCAAAGAGAAGCAGTGGAAAAATAAATCATTAATAAAAATTGTTACATGTAAGAGGGAATAGGGAAGAAGCAGATCCTCTCTGAACATGCTTTGTTTTATAAGTTTGACTTTGAAATAAATGTTTTATATAGTTTTCTATAGTTAAAAAATTAAAAAAAGAGCATATCTTACACATGTAAACCAAATCAAAACAAAGTTGCCTAACAAATATCAAGTTAGTAGCAAAACCACACGGGGAAGAATTATTTCAAGTCATGTTGAGCCTGGTATTTTCAGTGTATATCCTCAGGACAAAAACCCACAAAAGTATCTTTTTGTATTCAGTGGGTTTGTTTGTGGGAATGTTGATATAGTAAGATAAAGCAAATAAATTAATGTAGTTAGAAACAAGGAATTTAAGAATAATAGAAAAGAAAGAAGATCAAAGAAGCTAAGTAGAAACTGTAATCTTTAATTTGGAATTATCCATATGAACTCAAGATTTTTTTCCTCTAAAAATGCTTATTTCTGAGCCTATTGTGGAGGCCTAGAAACAGTGATGACCCAGTATTAATGAACTCCTGGTTCTCAAATTCTGATCTGAAAATTACCGTTTGCCACTAAAAAGCACCATGACTCCTTGGGGAAATGCCTGATTCCAACTCTGGGACAGGAAATACAAAAGAGAAGCCTGGGACATCCTGTGCCTGAAAGTAATGGAGCTTTCAACAACCAGCGGGACATGTCACTTCACCGTAACGTGAAGAGGCTCCCACCAGTCAAATGGGGGGAGGGAGGAGACAGTTTGAGAATCAAAAAGAAGAGTGACTGCAGTCAGTTAAGTGTATCAAGTATCGTTATTGATATTATTGATATCAAATGTAATATCAATTTTGTTGGTATGATAATGGTATTGTGGTTATGGTAACAAGTCTTTATCTTTTAGGGGTACATACAGAAATATTTATAGGTGAAGTGCTATGGCTGGGGTTTGCTTTAAAATTATCCACCCAACCCACACCCCCAAACAAGTGGGCAGGAATAGATGAGACCCCAGCAGAAAGGTGGTGATGGTGGTATCGTTGGGTACATGGGAGTTCATTGTAGTATACTACTCTTTCTACTTTTGTGTTTCAGTAAAAGTTTCATAATAAAAATGAGCAATAGTAATTCCCCATACAGCAAAGAAGTGTTAATCAGTACTTTAAAAATGGAATCTCTATTACTGACTAGAGGATTCGGTGTGTTCTCTTATATATTCTAGTCCTGAAAGCTCATCCAAGATGGCACTGGGAAGAGCTTCTGAAGTGCAGGTCACGGCTTTATTAAATGTCATTGGCTACTTCATTGTACTAGGTACAGACATGTTGATAGAATGGTATGTCTGGTTGCTTAGCCACCATGATAGACTAGAAATGTCACTTCTCTCTGCCTCTGTTGTTGAGAAGGCACCTAAGTAAGAGATCTTGGTCTAAAAAGAGGAAATGTATGGCCAGCCCCGGTGGTGTAGTGGTTAAGTTTGGTGTGCTCTGCTTCGGCAGCCCGGGTTTGGTTCCCGGGCACGGACCTACACCACTCATCTGTCAATGCCCATGCTGTGGTGGTGGCTCACATACAAAAAAAGGAAGATTGGCAGCAGATGTTAGCTCAGGGCAAATCTTCCTCGGCAAAAAAAAAAAAAGTGTACCAAAAAAGGCATTAACTCAAGACTACTTGTGTGAACATAGGGCATATTCCATTTCATGAGAAAGAGGTATTTAATTTTTAAAATTTAGGCTTTCAGTCACTCTCCCCTAAAATGAAATACTTAGACATGAATCTAACAAAATATGTGTGAGATCTATATGAGGAAAACTGCAAAGTTTGATGAAAGAAATCAAAGAAGATGTAAATAAATGGAGAGGTATTCCATGTTCATGGATAGGAAGATTCAATATTGTTAAGATGTCAGTTCGTCACAACTTGATCTCTATATTTGGTGAAATCCCAATCAAAATCCAAGCAAGTTATTTTGTAAATATCAACAAACTAATTCTCAACAAACTGTTTTAGATGGAGAGGCAAAACACCCAGTACAGCCAGCACAGCATTGCATAAGAGCAGGTTGAAGGACTGACGCTACCTGATTTTAGTTCTTACTATAAAGCTACAGTAATCAAGACAGTGTGGTATTGGTGAAAGAACAGACAGATCAGTGAGACAGAAGAGGGAGTCCAGAAATAGATCCACGTAAATAGAGTCAACTTATCTCCGACAAAGAAGTAAACACAATTCAATGGAGAAAATGATTTTTTCAACAAATTGCCAGAGCAACTGGTCATCCACAACAAAGAATTAACCTAGACACAGGCCTTTACACCCTTCATAAAAGTTAACTCAAAATGCATTGTAGACCTATGTAAAATGCGAAACTGTTAAACTCCTAGAAGATAACAGAAGAAAATGTAGGTGACCTTGGGTTTGGTGATGACTTTTTAGATAAAACACCAAAGGCACTATCCATAAAAGAGAAAAATCGATAAGTTGGACTTCATTATTGTAGAAAACTCCTGCTCTGTGAAAGACACTAAGAGGAAGAAAAGACAAGACACAGACGGGGAGAAAATCTTTATGAAACATATTTGATAAAAGACTGGTATACAGAGTAGACAAAGAACTCTTAAAACTCAACAATAAGAGAACAAACAACCCAATTAAAAAACACGCAAAAGATGAGAATAGAGACCTCACCAAAGCAGCTAGGCAGATGGCAAATAATCATATGAAAAGATGCTCGCGTCCTGCCATTAGGGAATTGCAAATTAAAACAACAATAGATACTACTACTGTATGATCCAGAACACTGACAACACCCAAATGCCGGTGAGGATGTAGGGCAATAGGAACTTGCGTTGCTGGTGGGGATGCAAAATGGTACAGCCACTTTGGAAGACAGTTTGGCAGTTTTCTTACAAAACTACATATACTAAAATAACATATGTTCTAACAATTGTGCTCTTTGGTATTTATCCAAATAAGTAGAAAACTTCTATCCGTGAAAAACCTGCTGCTTCTGTCGGTGAAAAACCTGCACACAGATACTAGTTGCAGCTTTATTTTAATTGCCCAAAGTTGAGAGCAACCAAGATGGTGGATACATGTCATTATATATACATTTGTGAGCACCCATAGACTGTAGAACATCAAGTGAACCCTAATGCAAACCATGAAGGTTAGTTAATAATAATGTATCAGTATTGACTTCTCACTTGTAACAGATGTACCACAGTAATGCTAGATGTTAATAATAGGAGAAAGGGGGGAGTGGGAGGGAGTATATGGGAACTTCCTGCACTTTCCACTCAATTTTTCAAAAAAAATAAAGTGTATTAATTTTTTAAATTTAATAATAAAAAAGATATTAACCTTTCAGGCAACTCACTTCTATCGAGAGTTCCTTGACTTTAGGTCAGACAATCTTAAAAAGTCCTGTTCTTTGATTTTAGGATCGTTTAGCCAGGTTTACCTTTTCTTGAGATAGTAGTTTACCTTTATACAGATTTTTTAGTTTCTTGAGAAATTACTGTTGATTGAAGCTGCTGATAGGTCTGAGTGGTTCAAATTGGAATAAGAAATCAGGAATTTCACTCTGGGTTTTGCTGATTTTTAAAAAATTAATGTTTCATTATTCCTTGATGCCATCACCCTGACAAATTAGAAATTTGGAGATAAAAGAATATTTAAGATTTTGAGTTGAGGAAGGGTGTTTTTTTTTTCTCTCAGAGTCACCATTTCTTATACCAGATAATAAATGCCTCATCTGTCCACTCTTAGCTGCAGGACTCATGCACACATTCAATGCCCACGCCGCCACGGACATCACGGGCTTTGGAATTTTGGGCCACGCTCAGAACCTGGCCAAGCAACAGAGGAACGAGGTGTCCTTTGTGATTCACAACCTTCCTGTCCTGGCCAAGATGGCTGCTGTGAGCAAGGCCTGTGGAAACATGTTTGGCCTCATGCACGGGACCTGCCCGGAGACATCAGGTACGAGGATCCTGGGCTCAAATCTGAGGCTCAAACTAGTGAGGCTAATGGAAATTTCCACGAGAAGGAAGAAGTCAAGTACATGAGCTTGACCCGATTCTGTGTGAGGTCAGTGTTATAACCTGGCCTTCTTTGTGAGGAATGTTCTCAGCCCCGTCCAGTGCTGTAGCTTTCCAGTGTCCTGCCATCCTGTGTGGGCTTGACTCATTATAAGTGACTTATTTTAAGTCCAGTGTTCCTGCGTTTGGTGATAGGATGGGAGGGAGGGAGAACGTGGGGAAAACGAATCATTACTCAGTTTCATCAGAAACTTACCATTTGAAATAACTGTAATTCCCATACATTACATTGAACAGGCTGTATTTTTTCCTTGAAAAAAGATGTCTAAAATGGCTGTTTTGTGAAGGATATAGTATAGTATGTCTGCAAAGTGCCATTTTTCTTTTCAACTCACTCTTTTCTCTCTTCTCCTTACCTTGACTCTCCTGTTTCATCCTTTAAGTCCCCCCTTCTCTTTTGTTTTCAGCTTCTCTTGTTTCTGTGTTCTTGCCTCTATAACTCAGGCGTTTCCCTACCTTGCCAGCAGAGTCAAATCATCTGGGGATTTAAAAAATACCCATGCCTAGACCTGATGCCTAGGGACCCTGATTAAGTCAGTCTGGGGTGGGCCTGGTCATCAGTAATTATAGCAGCTCCCCAGAGGACTCTGGGGTGCCGCCAGAGACAAAGACCACAAAGCCCTGCCCACGTGTCAGCCCTTCAGAAGGGCCTGTGCTTCTCTAATAGGCCTCTCCCAGCCTTTCTGGAGGACCTGTCAGCTTCCTGTCTTAAAAAAAGTCCAAATCTATTTTCTAGAAACTAACTCCAAGAGGGAAACTGAACCATTAGTTCAGTGTCTGGCTAGAATGGTGCCTGCCACCTGGTGGGCATGGAATAAATGCTGAATGAATTAACGAATATTACCAACATATTCACTTAGCTTCATTTATTCAAAAATGAGAAGTTTTTACTTTTTTGTACAAGTATGTTTTTTTCCTGATTTTGTTGTTTGTACTTAACAAATATATAGAATTTTTTGTCCTACCTACTGAAATAGCAACAAAAGTTAAACGTGTTTTATACTTTTTCTGTTTTGAAGATAATGACAGAGCTAAAACTAAACCCTAGATACTTTGAGGCTTGTACTCTTTCATGCATCTTAATTTTTAAATTAAAAAAACATATAAAAAAATCTTCTTTGTAAGATGAAGAATTCATGTAGAGAATCAAATTGAAAAAGAAAAGTTTTCTTTTGTTTTTAAATATTTCCTTCAGTGTAGCATGGAATAAATAGCTACGACATATGTTTTTGAGGCCCCAGCCACCTTCTACACTGCATTAAATGGTTCACAGATCATTTTCGTACTTTAAAGTTTGCTGTTGTGTGTGTTGAATATCATAGGAGTTTACAAGGAATTGCTTAATTACTCTACAGTTTAATCTGTGGAATAGATGAAGACAGAACAGAGCAGCCTGCTTCTTTGTACAGAAAGGGCAGCCGTATAGAGACACACACGTTGTTGGTTGAATGTGAATCTGTGCAGAAATGCTTTGGAAAACGGGGGGCAGAGAAACTGGTCACACAGCATTACAACTAACGTAATCCTTCTTTCTTTTTTTGACCTTTGCCAGGAGGCCTTCTAATCTGTTTACCACGTGAGCAAGCAGCTCGGTTCTGTGCAGAGATCAAGTCCCCAAAATATGGTGAAGGTCACCAAGCCTGGATTATTGGGATCGTAGAGAAGGGCAACCGGACGGCCAGGATCATAGACAAACCCCGGATCATCGAAGTCGCCCCACAAGTGGCCACTCAGAGTGTGAATCCCACACCCGGGGCCACCTCGTAATCTAGAATGAAAGAGCCATTTGGTTTTGTTTCTAAATTGATCTAGTTCCTTTATCATCATTTCAATTAAAGACTATAAACAACAACAACAATCTCATTGTGTCTACACATCTGGTGACCTTAGGTCAGTTTGTGAATGGATGCAATTAATAAAATAAATCCATTGCCTTTTTTTCCTGTTACATTAACTGAAGATGCACCTAATCCTGAGGCAGCTTCTGAGTTGAGAATTATATTGTTATCCAATACTGTTGATTCATTTTGAATCTTTAGACACTTATCTCTTGCCGCATAGGCTCTTTTTAAAGGTGCTTCCACATCGCACAGACATTACCAGTCTTAGTGTCAAGTAGCAGTTGGTGTCTTTTCATTTTATGGATATTTATCATTATCAGTCTCATCTTTTTTAAGTGTCTTGAGTGGTAATCTGGAAAGACAGAATTGCTAAGTGACAGAATGATATCCCAGTAGTAAGAGGGTTGCATGATTCCTTCAAGTCTTTGATTTGTAAAGCCTCATCTGCTAATTCAGAGCATCTCTTTGACCCAGGACCTTTCCCAATAGTGCATTCAGTTAAACAAGGCAAGTGCTTAACTCTGCATGGAAAGCACTTTGAAGACAAAAAAGAAATTTTATTTCATTTTTTGTAACCTTCCTAATATTTACAGTAATATCGTTAAGTATTTTCTTTAGGGAGAGCCAAAAAGGATACTTCCTGCAATGGAATGAGATGCTCTATAGTGCAACAAGGAATTGCCTCCAAAAGGGGATTCATGTATAATACTCTTCTGCAATTCCGTATATAATTAACTACACAAATAATTTTTAAATATAATCAATAATAAAGACTTCTGTGGACGATAGTGTTTAATACATTTTATATTTTGTATAGTGATTTCAGGCCTTTTGTTTTCTTGAAATAATCAGCTATTTAGCATGATTCTGAGCATTGTCCTGTCCTTTGCGCCAGTACCTTTTTGTGCACGCTTTTTGTGGTCTGTTAAAAGTCTGCAGTGCCAACATTATAGCAGCTTGAACTTAAAACTTGTTCAAATAAATATTTAATTTTTTTATTGCTCTTGTATAATCAGATGCCCCTTTTAGTATTATTTTAGAAGCATTGGGAGGGTTTTGGCTAATGTACAATTTATTGGGGAAAACTAGATTTTAGTTTTATAAAACTTTTAAGTCTTTCATGGGACCTATATTTTCTTGGATTAAATTTTGTAGTTCTAGACCAAATAGGTGATCTACAAAGGTGTTTATCTGTGTTACTTACAAAGAGAGGCTTCCTTATATTTAACTGACTAAATGATGAGAAGGGTTCCTGACATGAAGCACAAGGGCACTGACCCCCCATGTTTCTGCATAAGAGGAAAAGCACCCCATCACTGCAGGTTTATGAATGCTTCCTGCTCACAGGCACCAAAGCCCTGTGAACCCATCAACTTCTTGCCAAAGGAAACCGCCACTCTGGAGAAGCAGCCCCTGGAAGAGGCTTTTCCGTGGATCTGTCCTCCTTCAGGAGCCAGGGTGCAGCCTTCTCACATGGGTCACTGGAACTCAAGCCATAAGTACGTTGGCAGTACCTGAGAGGTGGCTACAGAACTGAAACTAATGGACATTTTATAGGGATTTACACTGATGTCAGTCCGCAAAAGCCACAAACCAGTGGTCTGCAAAATAAAATGTTGGAAACCTCTGAGTAAGACGAACATACTGTTGACTTTTTTTTTTTTTAAATACGCTAGTGACAACTGAGTCTGAACTACTTTCAATGTAGATCATGTCTTGAAGGCTGATGTTTTCCTTGGGGCAAATCTACTGAGGCAAGTGAGCTAAATGGATCATGCACTTGAAGTCATCTTCATGAGGATTCATATTTATAAAGAGAAAAGGTTGGGTCCTTAGAGGTCGAAGTCATAAGAGGAGGAAGAATTAGTCTTCATGGTGGTGTTTCTCAGAGACTGGTCCAGACCACTTGTCTTAGAATCTCCTGGGGATGCTCATCAAAGGCAGCCAGGTCCCACCCCAGACCATCAGAATCAGAAATTTGGTGTCATGGGGCTTGGGAGTCTGTTTTAAATGATCACCCTAAGCAGCCATGCACAATAAAGTTAGAACCCCCAATAAAGGAACATCGTAGAGGGCTGAGACAGGCAAAGGAGGGAAGGAGAGTGGACTCGCTTTTACAATATAGTTTTCCAGGTATTTTTCTTTTAAATCTTGGCAATTCTATATATTGACTCCTCCCACATCTGGGTCCTGCAAAACAAAATCCAGATAACTTGAAATTTCCTTGAAGAATCAGGTGATTGTCATTCACTTTTTGAGTTCTTGGCATAATCTATGTAGAATGCTTTAAAATTCAGTGAATGGTGAATATGTACACCATTATTTGGCTTCCTGGAGCACTTTAAAACTTCACTTGGCTATCTTGGTTTAGCAGTTTATTTTCTTTAAACCTTATGATGTAGTTGCATCCCAAAATACAGTTAGAATGCACGGAATTAGTGAACACAGCCTGAAGAGGCTGGACCCTTGAGGGAGCAATAATTGCTTTAGCAATGGGATTTATTTGCCCCCGTTCAAAGCTTAGCTTGTTATTCGCACGGGCTGTGTTCAAGCATTTATTGTGATTCAATTCAGGAAAAGAAATATTGTGTAAGCAATATGTACCTTTATGGCTCAATATTTTAAAATAACTTACTATATTGTAGTGTTCAAGTGCTGCATGCCTTATGATGAATAAATGTGAGTGTTTCAAATTGTTCTGATCTTAGATGTATGAGCCAGCAGTTTTCAGTCAATGTAGCATTGCCTTTAAAAGAGTTAGATCTGATTTCTAAGTTTTACACTGTTTTTCTATAAAGAGAGACCAGAATAGTAATACTGTACTATTCTCTGTTCTTAGAAGTAACAAAGCAGGCATAGGTATTGATGCTTCAGATACTCAACTGTCACATGTGTGCATGTGCATTTGTGTGTGTGTATATATCTCCTTGAGCTTCTCATCAATTCCACACCCAGCCTACTCTTCTGTTCTAGCTTTATCTTTTCTCATAAAAAATCCACATATGAACAATGCAATTATTAAACAGGCCAGGGTCCACAAGAAAACCTACAGACTCCAAGTCCTATTTAAAAGTGGAGCATGGGAACATCATTTTCCCTCTGGTTAAGTGCCATGTCTTGAATGAGAAAGGGAGTCAGTGGGTGGACTGGATAGGCTTCATCAAGTAAGACAATCAGTAACAGGTGCTCATAGGGTCCAGGCACATTCAAGGATTGCTGGACTCCAAGCTTGCTGTTGATGCCAAAGACTTTGGTTAGTCAGTGAACACTGGGTAAACAGGTCTTGGACCTGTGCTCTGTAGGGTTTCTTGTATTTCACAGTCTTAAAATATTTGATACCAGCTCTGAATACACAGCTGATATTGTTACTGAACCCAAACACAGGTTCGTTTACCCACCACATAGTAGGACCAATAAAGAAAAAAATTAAAACACCAGGCTTGTGGCAAGGAAAGAGATTTACTATTATCAAAAGGCAGCCAGGCGAGGAGATGGGAGTTAGAACTCAGATCTACCTCCTCAAAAGGAAAAGTCAGATTTTTTTATTTGGGGTTTTAGGTAGGGGAGGGAGAGCATGTATGGGGGTTTAGGTAAGGGAGAGGGAGCATGTGGCTTTGCTGGGTGGCACCTTCCCACCAGCCTGTGTTTGGCCTTGAAGACTGAATTTCTTTTCTCTTGACTGGACTTTTCTGGTTAGTTTTCATCTTCAGCCTGTGTTTGGCCTTTTGAGGCTGAATCTTGATGTCTGGACCTTGACTTCCTGGGAAAGTTAGCTCACTCATATACTAAGGAGGGACAGAAAGACCTGGTTAGTTTTACACAACAGTTGATTATGCTGAATATGCACAGCTGCAGTTAGCAAAAACTTATCTCAAAGTTTTTTGCTGTAGGGAGGATTTTTTTAACTTCTTCCTGCCCGATTTCAATCCCCACTGTCTTACGAGCATTCCTCAATCTTGTGAAATGGGGGTGGTGGGGGAACCACTCCAGCTACTTCCTGCTGTGAAAGGGCAAAGATCAGGATCGGAGGAATGAAACTGTTTTACCTTTATTTTAAAATATTTTTGGGTACCAGGTGGGGAAAGCAAGATATGCTTTGTATGACTAATATTTTAGTACTCTGATCAATGACTTTGGAATAACATTTAATTTTATATTTTATAATTATATAGATGTCCACACAGATTAGCAAAATAGCCCAAATTTTAGTATCCTCTCCATAATGGACCTCAATCCTTGGAGAATCCAGGAGAAGAGGCCTGTAAACCAATCAAGGTTAGTGCCTAGAACCCCAAGTGAAATCTGATGTAACCAAGTAGACTGCTGTCTAATAGTCCAACAAGTAAGACAAGAACCTGGGAGTTATTTATTACTTATCTTTAGGAGACTGTTTTCTGAACAGCAACTTGCAGTCTGTCAGGGGTTCACTTGGCCATTCAGAGAAGTCAATGTTTAGAGTATGAAGCCAGCCAAGGTTTGGGTGATCCCAGTTGTGATAACTTTTATGGCGTGCTTCCCATTTCCTGTGGTGTTTCTCATACTGTCCCATCTTGTGCTTCCAGGATTTTCATAGGGCCTAGTCTCCATGACAAAGATGATGCAAAGAAACATCTGACAATGCCTAGTTCCTCAGTTCAAGTTCCCTCCAGGTGTTTTGGATCATCTCTCGAACATAGAAAGGGTCTCCCAAAGTTAGGCCTCTATTGTGTAAGCAAGTAACCAGGTATTTAATAGGAAGCATTTCTAGAGGAACAAAAAGAAATCAAAGTTAATAGTTGGAGTAAATTATAAACCAATTTTTGAGCCCAGGGGATGGTCAGTCCAGAAGATCTCTAGATGTCAGGGTTGAAGCATCCCCTGCAGTTTGAAATGTGTCCAATCATGTCATCAGGCATTCAGGTAAACCTTTTGAGTGGCTTAGAGCAACAGGCATGAAGATTGTCCAAACATGGGCTATCATGTTGCCCTCTCTTAGGTTTATATCGAGTTTTCCAGTGTCAGTTTGCACGGCGTCAAGAAAAAGGGTTGTTTTAGTTCTCAATGATTCCAAATGAAAAGGCAAGAAAAAAATAAAAAACATTAATTTGGAGATATGTACCAGATATTCGAGGAAACTAGAAGAATTCAGGATCCAGTCCAGTTTATAGGTAGAAAACAAAAACCTCGAAAACAATTAGCAGAACCAGAATCCAACATCCAGAAATGTGTATTATAGTCTCTATTGAAACATAATTTTTCTCTTTAAAATCTCCCTCATTTTTACCAAAGATAGCCAAATAAAGACTCATTGGTTTGCAAAATAAATTTAGTTTCAATAAACTTGGCCCACTTACATAAGTACAGCAAGGAGAGCAATTGATCATATAGGCTCTTTTCCCTTTTTTTAATTGATGTCATAATAGTTTACAACATTGTGAGATTCCAATTGTACATTATTATTTGTCAGTCACCATATAAATGCGCCCCTTTACCCCTTGTGCCCACCCCCCAACTCCCTTCCCCCTGGTAACCACCAAACTCTTCTCTCTATCCATGCGTTAGTTTATCTTCCAATTATGAGTGAAATCACATGGTGTTTGTCTTCCTCTGTATGGCTTATTGAGCTTAACATAATACCCTCCAGGTCCATTCATGTTGTTGCAAATGGGATGATTTTGTCTTTTTTATGGCTGAGTAGTATTCCATTATATATATACACCACATCTTCTTTATCCAGTCATCAGTCGAGGGACACTTGTGTTGCTTCCACGTCTTGGCTATAGCGAATAATGCTGCAGTGAACATAGGGGTTCATGAGCCTCTTTGGATTGTTGATTTCAAGTTCTTTGGATAAATACTCAGTAGTGGGATAGCTAGATCATAAGGTATTTCTATTTTTAATTTTTTGAGAAATGTCCATACTGTTTTCCATAGAGCCTGCACCGGTTTGCATTCCCACCAGCCGTGAATGAGGGTTCCCTTTTCTCCACAACCTCCCCAACATTTGTTATTTTTTG